GTACAGTTCTTGGAGGGTGAGGAGGGTTGTACCGGTGATTCGCTCGGCAGTCCGCACTATCAGCTGCAATCTTCTAAGCTCAGTTTTGGTAGCCGAGCTGAACCAGACAGTTAGTGAAGTGCAGAGGATGGATTCAGTGATGGCTAAGTAGAACTCTTTCAGCAGCTCCTGCGGCAGGTGGAACTTCTTCAGCTGGCGAAGGAAGTACAGCCTCTGATGGGCCTTTTTGACAGTCGAGTCATTGTGATTGTCCCACTTCAGGTCCTGAGAGATGGTGGTGCCCAGGAACCTGAATGATTCCGCCACAGTGCTGTTCATGATGGTGAGTGTGGGCGGTGGGGGGGCTTCTCCTGAAGTCCCACGGTCATCTCCACAGTTTTGAGCATATTGAGCTCCAGGGTGTTAAGACTACACCAGACAGCCAGCAACCTTTTGTCTTTAAGCAGACTCGTCACCCTCCTGGATGAGGCCAATAAGTGTGGTGTTGTCTGCAAACTTCAGGAGCTTGACAGAGGGGTCAGTATAGGTGTAGTCATTTGAGTACAAGGAGAAGAGCAGTGGGGAGAGGACGCAACCCTGAGGAGTGCCAGTGCTGATGGTGCGGTTGTTGGATATGAATTTCCCCAGTCTTACTAGCTGTTGCCTATCTGACAGAAAGCTGGTGATCCATTGACAGATAGAGTAGGGCTGCTCGATTAATCAAATGCGTTTGTCATGCGCAACTTGTAAGTAAAACCTTGTAAGTAAATCTCCATCATGTGCTTTCAGATGGAGCAGCATTTACTACACAGAGCCGTAGTTCACTGACAAGCTACGCAAAAACATTGCAGACAATATAATCGCGCAATTATGAAATCATTCTGTGATAATGAAAGCTGTTTGTGTAGCTTCTCAGTGAACTACGGCTCTGTGTAGTAAGTGCTGCTCCATCTGAAAGCATGTGAAAATACCACATTTAATAACATGTTTTTACTCCAAACTCACTTCGTAACATCAGTCGAGTGTTTGAAATAAATCTTTCTTTGAGATGATGTGGCTTCTTACAAAGAGTAAGGCACGTAACATATTTCATAGTATTCTAAGCAGTGATGAAGGCTATGTCAATTAGCATTGCATTATTATATACTTTATTATAATGAAAATTTAAATAGTAATTATAATAAGAACTCAGATAAATCATATATTGTCGTAGTCCTGTGTTTATTAGTGACCTTGAAACAATGAAAGCAGTTAAATCTTCTGTTTATTCAGCTATGGCTATAGGGATTTCCTGGATTTCTTCTGCAGGGCGTTTTTTGGAGTTTCCGTGCGAGAGCGCCCTCTGGCCTTTCGATGGAGATTTACAACTAAAGCAGGCATGGACATCGCACAGCTCCAGTGATCTGTTGAAGACCTGTTCAAAGATGTGGGCCAGTTGGTCAGCACAGGTTTTCAGACAGGCTGGTGTGACACTGTCTGGGCCTGGTGCCTTTCTTCTCTTGTTCTTTCTGAAGACCTGACACACATCAGCTTCACTATTTGAAGTGCAGGCATGGGGGAGAGGGGGATTGCTGGAGGTGTTAATGGTTGTGTTGAGAGATGTTCAGTGCGGGTGTGGGGTGTCGTTTCGAGTTTCGAATCTACAATAAAACTCATTCAAGTCTTCAGCAAGTTGTTGATGTTGGGGTCTTGTAGTTTCTAATGACTTTTAGGCCTTTCCACACTGAAGCCGTGTCAGAAGATATCAGCTTTTTAGTGTAGCTCATCTTAGCCATTCTAATCTCCTTATTCAGTGTGTTTCTGGGCTGATTGTACAAGACTCTTTGGCCTGGTGAAGCTGTTTGAGTTTTGTTGTGAACCATGGTTTGTCATTTTGTATGTTAAATAAGTCCTGGTAGGAATGCACATGTCTTCACAGAAACTGATATAGGATGTTACAGTCTCTGTGAGTACATCCAGATCTGTGGCAGCAGCTTCAAAAATACTCCAGTCAGTGCAGTTGAAATATGCTTGCAAATTCCATTCTGTTTCGTTGGTCCATCTCTTTACAGTCTTTAGTACAGGTTTAGCTGATTTCAGTTTCTGCCTGTAGGTCGGTATAAGATGAAACAGACAGTGATCAGAGAGCCCCAAAGCTACTTGTGGGACAGAGTGATATGCATCCTTTATTGTGGTGTAACAGTGATCCAATATATTACTGTCTCTGGTGGAACATGTAACGTGCTGTCTGTATTCTGGCAGTTCACGGGAGAAATTTGCTTTATTAAAGTCCCCGAGAATGATAATAACAGAGTCCGGGTTGTCTGTGTTTTGATCAGTGAGTTTTTTTTTAAGCCGAGCTCACGTGCGCTTGCGGTGGAATGTAAACACTCACGAGAATGAAGGAGGAAAACTCCCGCGGTGAATAGAGAGGATTACAGTTGATGAAGAGTGCTTCTAGATCGGGACAGCACATCTTCTTCAATGCTGGTACATCTGTACACCACCTTTCATTGATGTAGAAGCATGTCCCACCGCCACACGATTTCCCCACTGAATCTGCGTCGCGATCTGCTCTGAACAGCTGAAAGGCTGTAAGAAAGAAAGAAAGATGTAGCGCGCTGTCCGGAATGGCATCATTCAGCCAGGTTTCAGTGAGAAACAGAGCACCAGAGTTTGAAAAATTCCAGGAGAGCAGAAGAAGTTTGTCCGTTTTGATGGGTAGAGAGTGGAGATTCGCCAGATGGATGCTAGGCAGTGCCATTATGAATCCGCATCATCTGAGCTTCACGAGCGCGCCGGCTCGCTTCCCCCGTTTGCGTGTCCTAAAGCTTCTGAACAGCGCCGCTACTCCGTCGACTACAACGTTCAGCAAAACATCCGAATAATCGAAAACTGGTAGAAGATTTGTGTGGTGTTCTGCTGAATATTCAGCAGTTCATCCCTGGTGAAACTGATTGTATTAGATAAACAAAAGACAGGAAAAACGATCAAAAACACTAAAACAACTGGAGAGCAAAGCATTATGGCAGCTGTGTTCAGCGCTATCTTGAAGCATAGAATATTAATATCATAATTAATAATTACAATAATGTTTCAGGTTCAAACTTACCTTAGTTTATGCCTACAATTCACCACAAACACACTATGAAAAGTAAATAGTAGGCTAACTATTGCAAATACTAAATGGCTAAAAATAGGATAACAAAATTATGACTTCACAAAACACATTAAAAATAAAACAAGTATGAGAACATAGGATAAATAAAACTATTTTACCCTCTATGAGACATATTCATTTACAAATGACGCTAAGGAAATTGCATTTAAAGTATAATATTAATTTTCAACAAGCAAAATTTAAATTTAGTGATGTCATATGACTTCCCCTTCAACCTATAAAATTAAAATGTATTTGCCATGTGCTTCACATTTTTGGTAACAAGGTAGTAAATGAGACATTAGCACATGCTAGGTCACATGCTCTCAAGGCTTCATAGTGAGCTCATTTTAGACTAGAAAATACTGTGTACATATACATTTTTTGTGTGTGTTTTTTACTTGCGTGTGGAATGTTTGGGCTACATTGAAAAAGAAGAGTCTTGTTGACTTTCACTTGTGCTACGATATTTGATTTGAAATTTTAAGAGGGAAACAATGTTAAAGTTATTTTAATGCTTTTGAAACACATGGTTTCCAGGCAGTGAAATTGCATCTCATTTTGTGTCAGGTTTTAGACATTTTTACACATGATTTCCAAAACAACTTTAACAGCACAAGAAAAAATTGAGAAAAAAGATTTTTTATGTTTTTTGAAACAGTAAGACCTTTTCCCTTCTTTTCAGATAGTGAAAAAGCATTTGATTGTATGTGAAGTTTGACAATTTGCCAAAAGTTATTTACCCTAATGGGACAAAGTCAGTTATAAATGATGGAACCATAAAAAAGGTCAAAGGTCATACCTAGAAAACAAATTTTGTAAAATTATTTTACTCCTAAATATATGTAAAATATAAAGTCAGTTATTTTTTCAAGCTGTGAATTCTGTGAGTCCCATAGAGGGTTAGCAAAATTATTCTTTACATTTTCTGACATTTTCACAAACTGTGAGTATAAAGTAGCCTAATTACAACTTTTAAAATGATTTTTGCCCAAGTTATTTTATGTTTATGCTTTTTGGAAATAGATCTTTACTATCCCTAATCAGGCTCACACTCTAAAAAATGCTGGGTTAAATACAACCCAGTGCTGGGTAAAATAGGGACAAACCCAGCAATTGGGCTGTTTTGACCCAGCGGTTGGGTTAAATGTTTAACCCAACCTTCTGGGTAGTAACCCAACCGCTGGGTCAAAACAGCCCAATTGCTGGGTTTGTCCCTGTTTTACCCAGCACTGGGTTGTATTTAACCCAGCATTTTTTAGGGTGTATCATGCCTTGTTATACAGTGCACACAAACAGTATTACTTTGTTTTAACATGTATGGTTACTATGTGACTACCCTGCAATAACGGTGTCTGTTTTGATAATTGATGATAATAGCGCTCTGCTCTCGTCCATGTTCTTCATGGCTACAGTAGCAGCACGGCGGCAAGTAATCGGTATAGCTCGCAGCACCCTCTGCTGGTGAAAGTAATCGTTGTTTTGAACGTGCTGTAAAACTGGGACATTTCCGGGGACGGGATACCAAAAACTGGCACTATCTACCTTTATTATGTGTGTTATGTGAGAATCAAGCCCATTACATTGGTGTTGCTTCAACCATACAATACAAGTTAAGCGGAAAGTAGTTGAAGAAACTTCATGAAGGTCTGCTGTTGTTTTCATGCTCATATGCATTTGGCCTGCTGTGTTTGGTTTGCCAAATGCTTCATTTAAAATAGAATGAAGGAAAAACTTGTAAGCATCATTAATACATCAAACATAAATGATTATAAACCAGTTGATTAAAAAAAATCTATTCGTATTTTGTTTTATCAGTATTGTTGCTTGAACCATGCTATTCAAGTTGAGGAAGTTTAAGAATCTTTTTCTGTTTCTGCAGTTGCTGCTTCATCTGTGTATTTGCAGTGCTGATAAACAAAGGTGAGAACAAAAACTACATCTGAGAGTTAAATTCATACAACATAAATGCCAGACTTTGTGTTTACAGTTAAAGTTTGTGTGATTTTCAGTGTGTCTGCAGGTCACAGTCGAGGCTGTTATTGGTGGTTCTGTTGTCCTGCCGTGTTCTTCAACTCAACATGATCATAAACTTCAAGACATTGATTTGAGCTGGAGACACAATGGTAGCATAATTGTAGTTGATATAATTCCACACCGTACTTCACCAATGACACAGGACCCAAAGTACAAGAACAGAACTGAAACTTTCCCTGAAGAGTATCTAAGAGGAAATTTCTCCATCAAACTCAACAATCTTCAACACACTGATGCAGGACAATACATATGTTACATCCTACATTCATCTCAATATCAGACTGTAGAGCTGATCATCAACGGTATGTGAAAATAGTAGATTAGTGCTAAGTTTTTAAATTTAAATTAGTGTGAAGTTTTTTAAAGTTGTTGTTGTTGTTTTATCTAAATACTGTAAGTGATTGATCCAGTATTTGAGGCTCCCTTTCAGTCAGTCACGTTCCATGTTACGTCAGTCGTGACTGACGAATTGGGATCTCGCCCGAGAGCCCAATCACCTTTGAGTGTTAACTAAACAAGCCAATGACAGTTGGCGTGCGTGTTTTGCCACGCGCACCCTGCCCCGCAGGGCGGGTATAAAAGGAGAGCGCGTACAAACGCACATCAGCTTTTCGCTTCGGAGCCGATCCTTCTACAAGACGAATCTCCGCGAGTGTTTGGAAACAGCTGGCGTTGGTGTTACGGCATGTCAGCGGGGGTTGCCATCCAGGCTGCTGAAACCTCGGCGAACTGCAGCTGCCATTCTGCATTCTTCCCGCTCGTGCGTTTCTGGATGTGGTCGCTTCCTGGCTTCATCTGATGGTCATGATCGCTGTGTCTCGTGCCTGGGCTTGCAGCACGCTGAAGCAGCGCTCATTGATGAGTCATGTTCTCAGTGCAGGAACATGACCATCGCGACGTTGCGGTCTAGATAACTCCTCATTAAACGGGGGGGTGGTATCCCCCTTGCCATGCCCCGCTCTAGCTC